TTTCATTCTTCCTACACAAGTGCTTCAACCAGAATACCTGTCTGACGTAGGCGATATGTGAAGCAGGCTTAACCTGCTTGACTGAGGGCCAGTGTCCTGTCCCTAAAACAAGGATTATAAGATCCTCATAAGAAAGAAACCAAGGTACAGCTGCAGAGATGGAGATGGGATGGAGGAGGATTACATGAGACGAAATGGAAGAAGACTGTTTTGCCAATATACAGTATGACTTTTGAGAAATGACATATGGACTAATTATGATTTACTGTATGTGATGGGCAAAGAATGACTTGGCTGTCATAATCTCTTCTGAACTTCAGTTAAGAACACTATTAAAAAAAAAACAGTTTATTAGGCCATTTACGCATTAAATTATTTAGACCTTATGAAAAAGTATTAATGTTTTACTTCTTATTTGTGTTTGTGTTTTTTGTTCGAAGAAACTGAATTTCTACAGAAATATAAACTTTGTGTAATATAAGGGCTGCAGTTTAAAATAATTGACAAATAATAAATGAGAAGCAAGCAAAACTACTTCAATTTATACTGTAAACCTGTGTCATTTTATAAAAGCTCATTCAGTGTACTGCATTGTGACTGCTCACAGTATCATTTCAGAGTGTTGTGTAGCTACAGTATAGGATCTAGCTGACCCGCACGCAGCCCACATAAACCAAAGAACAGTACACATGCTTTCATTGGACAATAGCCACTGTCCCAGGCTAGGATGTTCTAGGATTGCTAAAAAAAATGTGTTTTATAGTTGGTGGCAAATCACAAGTTATTTGCTCCTTGCAAGAAAGTGGATATTAATTGGTATATATATTGATCAATTTTTATTCTTCTTAACCCCCCCCCCCAAATAAAAACATGGAAATGAGTAAATAGCTGATCTCCATATATTCAATGGATGCTATATTCCTTTTTAAAGCCAGTCAAATGATAAATATAATCAGTCTTCTGTGTTCCATCAGCTGTGTGGTTAATGATAAGCTGTAGAGGAGGAGAATTTGCTCTGTGCAGCTGGGGAACCACATATCGTACTTCAAAAAAGAGTGATTGACTCTCCAGCTGTTTTTAATCAGGGTTTGGGATTTTGCCATACTTCACAGGCTAAGCCCCTCAATGTGGAGACTGATTTTAAACTCTCTTGACCTCCTGGGGCCATAGGTCATTATCAAGTACCACATCTATTGCCTTCTCATCAGCTGTATTTATACAGTGTTAAAATAACTAGTAGTGAGTTCCTACAGTGCAAAGTAAACAGGACAAGATTCTTAAAACTTTCTGTTTATTGAAAGTTTACTTCAGTGGGTTCTAAAGATGTCTAAGGCACAAAAGGGTTAGCAATAGCTCGAGTCTCAATGTGGAGTTAAAGAGAAAACTGAGTACTAACAGATGTACAGTACAACTAAAACTTTTCTTTATATCTTGTAGCACCTCAAAAATCTTCAAAAGCACTTTTCACAATACTATAAGATTTAAATAAATTCACAAACCCATAAAAAGCATATACAGTACACAAGATATAACAATCACAAAATGCCATTCTAAAACCTTTTCAAGCTAGATGTAAAAGCGGCGAAAGTGGATTTCTTTTGGTATGGTGTTTCAGGTGTTTGGAGCATGCATATAGTGTAGGCAAAGATAATAATGGGATAATTAATGGCATAATACAACAGTATCAGCTGAACAAGTGTGATCACTTAAGCACGACCTAGTCGGTATTCTAGCTGGCGATGTCCGTACATATTGTAACTTGTAACGTAATTTTAGGAGCTCTTCAAAGTGGGCATTATCAGTCCTTAGAAAAGCAAATGCCTTCAACCAATTTTTCTGGTGCATATACAGACAGTGTAGGTTGTCATGCAAACTATTATTTCAGGGAAATATTATTTCAGTTAATGTATTCATGTTTAGTGTTACTGGTCCTGGTGATGGGATTTCTACCGTAATAAAAACTATAGGTGTGGCCTCTATTTATATAGCCTCCTGGGCATAGTGGCATAAAACAGTACAAGGTGTGTCTTCTGGCGAGAGTCAGATGTCAAGATTTTAAATACTCAGGGGAACTGCTTAATGTTGTGAGTAAAAATATTAAATTATCATGATTCCAATGTGATTACAAGATCAATGAATAGCTTATGGACAAGCCCTATGTTTTAGTCTAAACCAGAACTGTAAAGAAGGAATCTAGCCTACTTCTGCATTTGAGGAATGTATGCTTTTTAACATGTGTTCTTTCTGACTGATATAGTAAAATATGAAAAATGTATTTTACGTATATGAATGAGAGAACATTGTTGTTTTAAAAACGAACATGTTTTTGGGAAACAAATAGGTATTTAGATCTTACATTGTAGGTTTTCAAGTGCCTCTGTGAGAATTGTATTTTGCATTATCAAACAAACCCTCAGTTTCATTTTGTACAATTTTTCAAATTAACAGCATGTACATGCATCTGTTAATTACTGAAGCAGCCAATAAAGAAGGTCTTTGAAAAATGGGAGCTGTAGAATATTAATGCTCAAGGGCCAAGTGTCTCTAGCACACTGTATGCTTTTAGTATTTCAGATATTATCATTTCGGCAGACAATTCAAATATCTTTACTAGAAGAAAAGGTTAAACTCAACTAGATAGACTGAAAATAGCAAAAATCTAGTGCAAATTCATAAAAAATGATTTGATACAAAATCTGGTACAAAATCCAGTCATAATTTGTCCTGTTATAGGAAATATTACTATTACACCATGAAATGAACACAATAAACAGATTGGCCAACTTTTTGCTCATTAATATTAATTAGAAAACTCCAGAGTTTCACAGACAGTTTTGCATGTCATAATGAAGATTATAAGATTTTCAGTACTTTAAAGAAAATAAATGTTTATTTGCATTATTAATTATGAGATAATATATCCAGCACAAGGAACTCAAGATTCGGTTCTTTTCTCACAGCTGCTCACAGGCAACTGTACAGAATGTATTTAAAAAGTGACAAATCCTGCAAATTCATTTAAGAGACAAATCCCACACACCACTATATAAGAGCCATTGAAAATACAATCATAAACAATAAGGCATCCCTGAACATTTTACATTAAATAAAGACAAGAATGAAATCTGAAATAATTGTTAGTGGTTTACTGCTGCTAGCTAAATTCTAAGTTCAAACAAGACTACTGCTCTGAATTTCTCAAGTTTTTGCAGTAGATTACCACATTTCCACAGCTTGCTTTTACTGATAGTCCAATGGCAGTTAATGACTGGTAGCATCTTCTATGTTATTTTAAAATGCATTAAGTCTTCCATTGAAAGTTTATTCTGTGAAAGCATAACTTCAATTTTTGTTCAATTTGATGTGATAACACATTTCAGAAGCAACATTATTTTTTTAATGTTTCCTCCTCACCTCTGTTGAAAAGTAACACATCTCAAAAAGGCAAAGCTTCACTTATCTCATCACATTCAGGTCAAGAGCAGTCATGTGCTCTCAGCCCAACTTGACCCTGTGATTCCGAGAGGCTCCAGGTTGTTGTTAATCTCACCATCACAGACAGCTTTTTGATAATACATGGATGAATAATCTAGAAACATATAATGGTTAACCAATAAACTATAGACTATACAAGACACTACAGAGTTCTTTTATAAGGACATGGTCTGAAACTGTCCAACTTGTTCTCTGAAATTTTAATACCAAACCTCATACACATTTTTTTTAAGAGATGGCAAGATATTCTGCAGGTCCTTATTTTATTCTGCCATTAAAGCAAATATACAGTACAGTATATTATTTCTGTAGGAAAATAAAATGTTCAATTTAATGTCTTTAACGACAGCGTTTCTAAAAAATAATGAGACATAAATACCTGGATACGTTGGTAAAGTGTAAATTTCCAACTTGCAAGTTTTACCATCAGACACCATGTTACTGAAACATTCCGTCTAGTATAGACACAATTTATAGAAACCAAGCGTAACATAAATTAATATGGCTGACATTTTTAGAGCAAGATGAAAAAGAATAACATTTCTAAAAACTGTGGCTTCTAGTGGATTAACTTCCATCGATTCAGAAATTTATAAGGGGGTTAAACTATAAGTCTGAATCCTATTTTTTGAAGGGAACAGCAAACAATTATTTCATCTCTACAACACATTGAATATAATTAAACACCCTGCCAAAATGTATTCAAATATATTTGCTCTTCAACTAATCAAATTGATTAATTAATAGAGTTAAAATCCTACGAGAAACTCAGAGTCAGAAAAGCAAGTGTTATCATGAACTGGGTTCCAGGATGAAATAGCATCATAAAGCAACTTCGTCTCCATACCATTTAAAGCTCAGATTTTAAATATATACAGTTAAAAGCATATTTAGCAGCTGTGGTCTTTTAAGGTTTCATTATATAGTAACTAGGTTCTCATTATTAATGGTATCATTCACTAATATGTGTTAGTCTCATCTTTTTCATTTTCAGAGTAATATTGCCATACACATCAGTGTACAGTATCAGCATGAATGAACACAGATCTAGAGAATATTCCTAAAACTCTGCTGATAAGTTTCTGCCTTCAACATATATACTGTACATAACCCACTTAGATAAATCATTTATGCAGAAAACATTTCCTTCATTATTAAATCTATTTCTCATCACCTCAATGATGACCATCCTTTTAAATGTCAGAAAGCTTTGGATTTTTAATTACTAAAGCATTATTAGTTGCAACATTATTTTAAAAAAACATTTATGCACCAGTTACACCATAAATGTAAAACATGTATGGTTATTCCTCATTCAATTACTTTAAAACAAATAAAAAGATTCCAAAGGGTTCTTGTACTGTACATGTTAAGAAAATCTTAAACACTGTACAATCACAAGCTAAAACTGTATCTTTCAAATCATATTTTCCTTTAGGTGAAAGCTGAAAATTTCCTCTGCCTTCCTCCCAGGCAAAATAACATCAGTGATGAGTAATACTTACCGAAATACATGCTGTTCTTCATTAATCATAAATAAAAAATCCCACTGTTTTGAGTTTCCACTTCAGCTTCTACATGTGTAGACATGTAGAATAGGGAAGTTTCATTCTACATGCTCACTTACGTTCCCTTCAGGATTCAGTTTGATCATTACAGCTCTACGGCCAGGTTGCCTCTATGCTGTCTTATCCCCAACACAGTCTCTGCCTGATTATCATGTACACTGGCAGCATACTGTGCTTTTGCTCTTACTGAAATCTGACTCCTCCTTATGATGTTCTTGTTGTGCTTGTGACATCAGTAGTGCCAGAACAAGATTTGTTCTAACAGTCTGCTTCTCAAGTGTTCTGTTTGAGCCTCCATTAGAATTGCTTCACTCGTATTTAAATGATAAGGGTGGCTTAGTGTGCTTTGCACATCTGTGTCCTAACAATTTACTTATAGCAATGCTTAGATAACAATAATGTACAGCAAAGAAAAACTAATCTCTTCTTATAAATCCCTAAATACGTAATTTGTCCTGTTGAGTTTGATACAGTAAATACATACCAATGCTTTTGAAGGTCAACTTGTATTGGTTGCAATGAAACAATATTATATTTATTGATTACTAATAATGAATTTTGTAAATCAAAGTGTATTGATCAATGTGTATTTAAATTATGAAAAGTTAACTATTTTAATTGTTAGAAATTTCAACATCATTCTCATGAAAATCATTCTATAAAAATTATCCTGATATGGTAGACGCTTTGCCTTCAGCAGCTGTTTTCAATTCATTTTGAATTCACCCATCCCTCCTATCCTGTCCCCAGAGCCTACATTAAGTAAATAAGTTTATTCCATATCTAAAAGAAGCAAATCTCCAATTTTGTCTTGGCTCAGTTCCACAAACTAAACCCATTGCATGTGTTTTTTAACCTTGACTCAGAAGTGTCAGTTCTGGAAAAGTGCATTATTTGTCACAATGAATACCATTTAACTGAGCTGGTACCCAGAGGAACTCTGCAGTGCCACACGTGAATACAACAGGAGGAACTTAATTAATCTTGCTGTCACTTCAACGACGCTTTCCATTAGTTATGGTACTATCTGATCAACCGGCTTTGTCTGTATTTGGAAAACGTTTTAACTGCTTTCTGGAAAGTCTTGCTCATGCTTTGAAGGAAAACAAGCCTTCACATTTGATATTAGGAACCTAAAATAAACTCACCTACAGATTTTCATTATTGCTTTGTTAAAAGAAACACCCTACTTTTGTCAAAGATATAATACCTCCAAATAAAATAGTCTTTCACGGGATAATAAAAATGTTAACCCCATAAAACATGTTTATCAAGGTCAGATGAGAAAAAAAAAAACTTGTCTACTGTTCCAGAGAGGTGTTTTGTTTTTATGCTGGAGAAAAATAATTCCTTGAAATTTCAAATATTCTTGGTTATTCTTGGTTCTTGGTTAAACGTTTCTAATTTTGTAATGAAATATCCTAAAGATTATGAATAATACAGTCCTTGTGATTTTGAAAACAACCACTGCACAATAGTGAAAGCATAGAGCACTTAACAGAAGCAAAAAAAGCAGCGAAAAAAATTACAAAATTGTACATTAACATTTATAGTAATAGTTTCTAAGAGTGTTTAAAAGTATCCACAACCAAGTAGGGTCTTGCCAAATTCAAGAACAACACAAGAAAAGGCATTCAGCGCCCTACATGTAACAAGAAAAACTTTAAAGTCCACTTTAAATTTCCATCATAGATTGGATTAAAATAAAATAAAAATATGCAACATTTATTAGCAATACTTTACATACTATGACAAAAATTGTTATAAAAAGATAAATATATAGTATCTTAATAACATTCTAGATGTATCACACTAATTACCTATATGAGCTGCAAGCCACATTGAATACAATCTGACATGAAATGAACAATAGTCTAATTAACTATTTTTTATTTAAGGAGGCATTGTAAACAGAATGCCACTACCATAATCACAAATGCCAATCAAGGTGATCTTATATATTCTTACTTATTGTGCTTAATACAATTTGTACTGTGGCTCTGCAGCAGCCAGGGTAGAGGCAGAATGTTTTTTGTCACTTCAGGACACCTGAAGGTTGTTGCTTGAAGCTGCAACTGTGCCATTTTACAACCTGTACAATACCATTTAGTTGCATTTGTTCAGATGCACCAGGATGATCAAATCAAAGATTTGTAACAATTTGGATTTAATGTTACTCAACTTCTTTATTCCACACACAAATTTCTATTTTTAGAAAATAAAACTTTTTTTGGGAATTCTGTTACTTACAACTGTTTAACAACTAAAATTCACAATTAGAACGAAACAAGTCTGTAAAAGTGTCATGCTACAACATCCATCCATTTTCTAACCACTTCTTAGTGGTTAGAAGTGGAGCCTATCCTGGCAAGCAATGGGCACAAGGCAGGGTGCACCCTGGATGGGACTCCAGTCCACTGCAGTGGAGACATTTACTGTAGGCACAAACACAGACACACACAACAGTACTTACACCTAGGGTCAATTTTCCCAGAAGCCAATTTCTCTCAATTTGACACTGCATGCCTTAGTAAATTGGAATTGCATATAAAACCCTCTCTACTAGATCCCATTCCTTCTGTTTTATTTCAATCCTGTTTGCCAGTCCTCTGCCCTGTTGGCTTCTACATAATAAATAGAGCACTGAAGTGGTACCAATGGCCTTTAAAACAGCTTCAGTAATGCTTGTGCCTAAAACATACCTCTGGACTACCTTAATAGTTTTTGTCTTATATCAAACTTGTGCTGCTACAGTACAATTTAACAATCAGTTCATTGCAAATAACCTCTTCAAACCCATCTAATCTTGTTTCATACAATTACACAACACAGAAACTGCCCTTGTTAAAAACACTAACAATCTTCTTACATTGTTAGAGCCAGCGATTCTAGTTCTCAATCTATCCTAATTCTCCTTGACCTAAGTGCTATTTTTGACACTGTTAATCATGAGATTGTTATGAGACTGTGTTTGGAACTCTTAAAAATGTTACTGATAACTGACACTTTGTTTCTTTGGGGTTTTCTAGTTCTGAAGTTGAGTTTAAGTCTGGTGTTCACCAAGGCTCGATATTGGGCCCCCTTGCTATTCAGCATTTACATGTTCCCACTTGGTCGGATATTGAGATTACATGCTCTGAATTATCTTTGTTGATGATACTCAAATCTCTGACTGACTGCTAAACCTGACACTGAAGTAGCTGTCTCCTCACTATTTGGGTTTCTGATATAAAAACCTTGATGACTCAAAATGTATTTCGCCTAAATGGAGGATTTACATGGCTTGCAACAACAGTACCTATCTGACTTATCTGTCTACACCCCACGTGTATGATCTTGGTCTTCTATACAGTAGGTCCCCCAAGATCGTTTACTTTCCACTGGTGACAAGGCCTTCTCTTGCTACTTGCTACTACTTAAATTTCTTTTCAGAAAGGCTATTTAATTAGTGTGAGCATCTACTCCATTTTCTAATGACCATGTATTTTCTGCTGCACCTCTTTCTGCTTTTCTCTTTCTTATATGCTTATTTTGTAATTTTCTATTCTCATAAATGTTTACACCTACCGTAAAAATGTTTTGATATGCTATTTTAAAATAATAATTATTGTTATTCTTCTTCTTCTTCTGATTATTATTATGATCATCAGCATCATCTTACCAGTATGTTTTTGGTATGTGGAAGGAAACCAGAGGACCTGGAGGAGGATTGTAAAGAGTACAATCTCCAACCGGATACCACCCCAAGTTCAGAATTGAACCCAGGGCCCAGTAATGCAAAACAGCAATGCCACCGTGCCACCTACTCTACAACAAGCTTCCTTACAGATAAAACTGTCTATGCCTTTATGGTTTTAAAATATCAAAAACTTCCTGTCCTCTAGGCCACAATATAAAGGAAAATGCAGTATTCAGAAGCAAATAGGTCTTAATTGGAAAAAATAGATTGAACTTGGTTTGTCAAGGTGTCCGCTATGAAATCTTACAATATGCTGCTCAGATTCTAATGTTCCACCTTTTGTGGACATTCAGAGATCTCTTCTGTTGGCATTAATGGTATGATACCCTAGATGTTTCTTCAGGTGGGGTGGAGGGGTAACTTGTATTTTTCTCTGTGCCTAAATCTGTATCCTGAGCTAATCTGTGATGCACTGACAATTTGGTAATTTGTCTCCAGAAAGTATGTGTTATCTTTGCTTACTCTGATTTAGTTTGTCTTCCTCACTGCTTAAATAAACACTTTAGGTTTCAATTTTACTTGTGTGAGTGCTGGCTGTACCCTCTTACTGATACTTGCATCAGTCTGTGATCGTCTGGGTCTACTACCTCCAAAGCTTCTTTCTAACTTTTTATACTACCTCTGGATACCTGGACTCAATACTGGCATTACCATATGCAACAGTTGACTTCCCCAACAGCTTTGCGATAACACCAGTATTGTCTTGATTAGAGAGACAATGTGATCCATCTTACAACTGTTCTCCCCATTTACTATGCTGTTTTGTACCAACAGTAAGAAGTGGGATAATTATTTGTCTTCTCCTTCACTACTGCACTGTGTAGCAGAAGGCCTAGGCAGGCTAAGTGCCTGAGGGGGTAATATTGCTGCAGTCCTTATGACTGATCAATCAGAAATTATACAGTACAATATGCTGTACAAGTACATAAAAATAAAACACTTTCTATAAACTGCAAATTAATGAAGTTGCTTTTTCATTGAAAAAAATTGAATACTTTAGTATATAACTTAAATTTACATCTGGACAGCAGGACCATTGAACTTTATATTTGCAAAAAATGTATTACATTTTTTCTACCATTTCTTAAACTGCTTTGTAAGTGGCACTGCAGGAGCAGAATCAGAGAGGATTATCAGACTCCACAGATGAAAGCATTATCTTTACCGTAGATATATCTGTTAGTGCAGTACCTTAGGAGAACAACCTTATGTTTCTCTTAAATCCTACTGGAGAAAATGTTATTTCAATACACTGGACTCCTTGATTACCAATATGCTCAATCCTCTCAATAAAATTTGATGTGGGCCGATTATGAAGACCGGCAGAGAATGATGAATACTGCTGATTATCTTCTGAATATCTTTTCCATAAATAATGCATACATCTGATTACAATGATAATCTTAG